GGAATGCCAGTCTCAATGTCCAAGTCTCCAGTGCAAGGAGATCAGTGTCTTATCACATCCAGGACAACTTCAGTCCATAGATGTTTCTGTCGTAGTCAAAATTTTAAAAATAATGAAAAATCACTCATCTATGATTTTACCTACGACGGAGAAATCTTATACCAAATGAATTCTAGGCCTTTTGGCCGTCAATTCCATTGTGGGAGAAAGTGATGTGAAAATCCTGGAAAGTTAGGCGTGGGTGGGACTCACAGAGCGGCTTGTCTGGCCTGTCACTGTGTCCATGGGGACAGCAGAGGCCCGGCGTCAGGGAGTGGCTGGAGAGATCACCCAGCTAGCAAGTCAGGGCTCAGACTGAAGTCCTGTTCTTCATTTTCTCCACCCCGTTCCACAGAAGAGCTTACGGACTCTTGGGCATCTTGATGTGGGATGGAATGTTGAAATATACAGGAGCCGTCTGCTGTGAAGCCCCTCAGCCAGGTGTGATGGAAGTGGGCCACCTGACTTACCCTGCAGTCGGGGTGCCTGGAGCACCGGGGGGGGGCATCTTTCTTTGTTGAGAGTCACATCTGACCCCAGTGCTGCTCTCACCATGGCCCCTGTAATTTTTTTTTTTTTTTAAGCACTACAAGACTTTATAATGGTGCTGGAAATAGTCCATGCTAGCAGACAGTGTGATCCATGAGCCCTGGGGGAGGGGTCGGCAGGGAGTGTGGCAGAGACCGCCCCGTTTATACCGAGAGCCTTTCAGTGGGACAGAGGCAGCAGATGAGGATACAACGACTTTACGTGTTTTTTACAAGAGGCAATCTGTGAGAACGGGGGTTTTTAATTCCTGTATTTCATGAACCTCAACCTTCTGGTCTTTGAATAGATGGTGAGAACACTTAGGAGGGAGCAGCACTAGAAAGTACTGACCGCGCTGTTAGGGAAAACTGGAGGGTGCAGATGAGCAGGAGAGCAGCGGCGGCTGTAGGGGTGGCTATTTAGTGATGACGTCACCAGCGTTGTCGGGGAAGCAGGCCTTGGGCAGCGAGACCCTCCCCTGCTTCCGCACGGCATCACCGCCCTGAGTAGCTCAAGGTGAGCCTAGGACATGACCGGCCCCGTCTTCCCCGTGGGATTCGGGTGTCGTGTCCGACGGTTGCTGTAGCAGCCAACGATGGGGAGGTGACATGGTGAAACTGAGATCTAGAGAGATGAGCACAGGAGGCAGCTCACTCTGCAGGCCTGCTTGCAGGGGTGGCCTGGGCTGTGGCCTGGGAGCTTGGATGTGGGGGGCTTCCACCATTTCCACAGAGTGGGCCGGGGGTGGGGGGTCTCTTGCTGCAGCCTGGCCAGGGCGTGGCTGCCCTCCTGCTTTCCTGCGGGGGTCTGGCGATTGCGGAGCCTTAGGCAGGGGGTGCCTGGGTGACCAACGCCCATAAACCCTGCCCTCAGACTCAACGAGCTCTCCCAGTGGCCGGTGTTCCACCCACGACATCACAGCTTGTGGCTGGGGAATTCAGCCTGTGACTCTAGTGGGAAGCTTACTCGGGTTTCTGTGGACTTCACCCCACACGCCCTTTCTCTTTGCTGATTTTCCTTGTGCGCTTTTACCGTAATGATCACAGCTGGGAGTGTGACTCTGTGCTGAGGGCTGTGAGTCCTCCTAGTGAATCATGAAACCTGGGGTGGTCTTGGGGACCCCTCCACGGAGATTGGTTCAGGTAAGGTCCCGCCCGGAGCTAGGGTTAGAACCTTCTCTTCCAGATTCCCAGTCATGTAGTTTCTTTCCCCCCATCACCCCCCACCCCCTTTTAAAAAGGAAATATTAAATAAATATTAAAAAGAAGCTACAGAAGAGTTAGAGCCTCTGTGAACAGGAATGAGAGTTTCCATTATCTCATGTTAGCTAAAATCCTTCCTAAAAATTCTGGACCGAAAGGAGAGGGTGAGCCTAGGGAAGTGGACCCACGTCTTTTACAGCCATTATTGTAAAAATCTGGCAGACACACAGTGCTTGGAGAACTAGGCTGTTAGTTCTTTAAAAACTGTAGTGAAAGGATCGGAAACTTCATGTTTCTTTGTATTTATGACAAGACAGTTACGTGGGATCTTACACTGTGAGGGCCAGAGGCTCCGGCCGCCACCTTAATTTTGTTGGGGACCGTGTCCAAATGAAACAAGACATGGAAAGAATCTCCTACCGTTGTTTGGGAAATTCAGTATCTGCTATGTGTGGCTCCAAGTGGCTGACTGGAATACTTGAATATTCTAGACTTCTTTTACGTCATTACAGGGTTTTTTTTGTTAACTATGTGAGAGCATAGGGGAGTCTTCAGCTTGGCAAGATTCCATAGCACTAACAAAACATTGTGGAATTTGCTTAATGTTTTCTAAAACTTGCGTTTAGTCCTGGAATAAAAACGTTATTGTCTTCCGAGTTTGTTCATTGAGTGAGTGCTGTATTTGAGAAGATTAATTGAATCTCTAGGAAATAACATGATGAAAAAGAATGCCTTCCTAATGTCAGCTACCTGACTTAGGGAATAAGAGTAATGATCTGATTTTGGCAGTAGTTTTCTTTGCCCATTTCACAGTTGGGAAGAGAGACTCGTACGCTCTCAGCTTCACTTTGGAGGAGCTGGAATCATGCTTTGGGGCCATGTGTTCAGTAGTTGTTGGAGTATTTCATCTGCTGGCTAAAGTCATGTTCCTCCCGAGAAGGGAGTGGAGATGTTTGGCCCAGTCTTCATTTTAGGAGGTGTCTCCCCTCCGTGGGGTGTCAGCACAGCTGAGCTGCAAACTTCATAAGCGTAGTATTTGGCCATTTTCCATTGTTTTACACGTATTGTTTTCACAGTTCACACATGTGATGTGTTCTGAAAACAAGTGCTACAGGATTCACTTCTAGCTGTCTGTTATACGAGGCCATTCGCTGAAGGATATTTGTGAGGTGTGCTTGGAACTAAGGAAAACGTCAGTAGGTGCCCTGTCACTCACTACCCAAGGCTTCCCTTCACAGACAGGTGCTGTCAGCCTGTGTGCACACTCACTGTCACCCCACTGTATGTGCCAGAATATATTTCCATTCCATATGGTGTATTTTAGTTTGCGAAGCTTTGGTAAAAAGATCACTGGTGTTAACTTTCTTCTGGAACCATCACCTGGGAACCAAGCTCCTGAAACAGCAGCAGCTTGAAATCTGATGATAGTTTAAGATAGAACTGAAGATAGAACTGAAGCATGTCAGTGGATGCATTGTAACTATTTGTTAAACTTTTCCTTCCTGTGAACCTACAGTTTTGAATAGCTCTCATAATATTTGTTCATAAAAATTGTATAAACATTCACTAGCCATTATTATCTCATGATTGTATTGTTAAGGGGAGAATTGAGGCTTTCTTATTTTTAATTTTAATCTGCTTGCTAAAGCTTTGGTGTTATAGGGAGGGCCCAGGGCAAAAGCAGATGAGAAATGTGCTCTGTAATACCCCCTCTCATTTTTAAATTTTATTTTCTGTCATTCATACACAGAGAGTTGACTAGGTTTACAAGATACATTGAAAAAAGGCAATTCCTTATCTCTCCTGCCATTTTTCCTTAGAGGCAAACACCGTCAACTGTTTTTACTGACTGTGTTGTATCTGTTGCTCTGCCTCCAAATACTGTGCATGCACTGCTGTTTCTTAGTTTTGTGTCAATCTAAGAATTTTACTTCACATTACAGAGGGTGAATTTCAGCTCTCTTTCCTCCTACCCTCCCTCAGGTGCACTTACCGTCTCCTCGTACACCAAACGTAGTCACGTTTTCATTTTGATGAGGACAACATTTAGTTTATTCTCTGGCTGTGTAGGCTGTTCACAGCTCCCTATTTACGTTTGGTGAACTTTGGTGACTTTACCGTCTCTCCCCACCCCCCATGCACCCTGTTTCCCTGGGTTAATGTCTTACCTTCATCTGTGTAGTTGTCTGCATGCTCCTCTTGCACCAGTGCTGTCTACCCACTGACGTACGAGTCAGGTACGTCTCCTTGAGCCTGCCCTTGCAGTCCACAGCAGCTGCCTCCACTGCCTCTCGCTTACCTTATCATCCTCCAGGGACTGCACTGCACCTTTCTCTGCAGGTGCACCTGCTGTTTCTTGGAGACGACGTCCTTCTTGGTTTTGTCCCTCATCATAATGGTGAGTATCTTCCAGTAGCTTTCTGAGAAAAGATGTGGAGAAGGAAAGTTTTTTGAGTCTGAGAATATTTTTATTCTATCTCGGTACTGATAGTTTGTCAGGGTTTAGAGATCTAGGTTGGAAGTCCTTTTTTTTCCACCAGAATGTTGAAGTTCATGTCCCCGCTCCCCTGCTTGTGTCCCAGCTTTCAGTGTTTCTAGTGAGAACCCAAAGTCATTCTGATTCTTTATTGTATGTCGATAACTTCGGTTCTCTTTGTCCTCACCGTTTGTCTGAAGCTTTATGATGATGAGTCTTATATGAGACTCTTTTCTTTTTGTGCACTTGGAGGGCCTTTCAGGCTGGAACCTCATGCTGTCTAGATCTGGGCAAGTTTCTTTAAAAATACAA